GGGGAGGTGAGGGGGTGTGGAGGTGAGGCAGAGGTGAGGCGGAGGTGAGGCGGGTGTGGAGGTGAGGCGGAGGTGAGGTGGGTGTGGAGGTGAGGTGGGGGTGAGGGGGTGTGGAGCTGAGGTGGAGGTGAGGCAGGTGTGGAGGTGAGGTGAGGTGAGGTGGAGGTGAGGGGGTGTGGAGGTGAGGGGGTATGGAGGTGCGGTGGAGGTGAGACGGGTGTGGAGGTGACACAGAGGTGAGGCGAGTGTGGAGGTGAGGTGAGGTGGAGGTGAGGGGGTGTGGAGGTGAGGTGGAGGTGAGGCAGGTGTGGAGGTGAGGTGGAGGTGAGGCGGGTGTGGAGGTGAGGTGGGGGTGAGGGGGTGTGGAGCTGAGGTGGAGGTGAGGCAGGTGTGGAGGTGAGGTGAGGTGGAGGTGAGGGGGTGTGGAGGTGAGGTGGAGGTGAGGCAGGTGTGGAGGTGAGGTGGAGGTGAGGGGGGTGTGGAGGTGAGGTGGGTGTGGAGTGAAGCAGATGTGGAGGTCTGTGTGTGGGAGGTGAGGTGTGAGGATAGGGTCTGTGTGTGGACAGAACTTGGCTGTAGAAGCACAGAAGGGAGGGTCAGAGAGGGCCATGTGAGGACGGGATCCAGAGCCAAAAAAGGCATATGTGTGTCCCTCTGGGCGAGTTTCATGTCTGGTGTCCATGACTGGATTCACTGGCTCTCGGCAGCATCCGTAGGAGGGAGACTGTTGGGGCGAGGCAGGGAGGCCTGGGGCTAGGACGTGGGATGAGAGGCACAGGCCGATGGTGGGGGCATGGTGAGCTGGAGCGGGAGGGCTGGCCCACGGGCTAGGGGCTGACAAGGCCATATCCTATGTGGGGCACACTGCCGGTGGCCTCCCCAGAGTAGGTGGAGGTGGGAGTCCCCTGTGCATTGGAGTAGCTGCCACGTGGGTGTCCCCTGGCTGGGGTCCTGGGGTCTTGGGCGGTGCTAAAGCAAGGCTACTGCTTGCTGTACTTGGGGGCCCTGCCTCCAGCAGGTCCCTGTGTTGCCAGCGTGGTGTCTGTGGCCCATTTCTTGTCTGCAAGCTTCCGAGTCTGATGGTCTGTGTGTCTGTTTGACCCTTCCCAGCCCTGATCACCCCATTCACAAAAGTTCTGAGGCCTGAGTAGGCCACAGGAGGGGCCACATCCACACTGTGCTCTGAGCTGAGCAGGGTGCTCCTGGGCCCTGGTGGAAGGGGCTGGAGACTCTTAGAGATGGGGAGTCAGGGTAGGGCTTGGCCGTGGTGTGGCTGGTGGCCTGGTCAGCTCCCATGCCAAGGGTCCTGGTCCTCAGTAGCCCTTGTGAGGACCTAGTCACTTACTATGGGGGAAGCAGATGAGACAGAGGCAGGACGAGCCTGTCTGCTATGTGCTGGAGGGACTCGGGAGAAACAGTGACAAAGCGGCATGGGGGTGGGGGTGTCTCAGAGAAAGTAGAGGGAAGGACAGCTCTGCAGGCGCACAGAGGTCTCACGTCCTGAGCTCTGGCGGGTCCCACTCACACAACAAGGATGGACGGTGAAGAAGAGGATTCTGGAGGCCGGGCAGGACCGTCATGTGCACAAACATTCAGACCTTTGGGGAGAGGCCAGGCCACCATGCCACCTCAATTGCGTGGATGGAGCGCAGCATCCCCAGTCCGGAGGCACCAGGCCTGCATGCTGGTCAGGCCCACTGAGAGGCCGTAGAGGACGTAGGCTTGGAGGCCCATCACGTGGTCTGAGCAGCTTCCACCCTGGGAGGCGCTGCCAGTGGCCCAGGAGCAGAGGACCCGAGTTGACCAGCTACAGGTGGCCCAAGGGAGCTGCTTGCAGAAGTATGCAGGTCTGAGGGCGACTGGCCAGGAGAAGGGTAGCTCCTGCTTCCCTCCTGGCTGGGATGTGCCTTGCTCTGGTCAGCCTGGTCGGTCCTGGGCTCTGGCCTCAGAAGCAGCAGGAATTTATGGGAAAGGAGCTCTGGTGCAAACTCATGGGACAGTTTAGGCAGCCTTTTTCGTGTCTCCTTCCTCAGCTGTACCTGTCAGGAACACAAAATCACTAAGAAATAGGAAGCCACAGAGGAGGCCACAGCCACGGTGTGGTGTGAGCTGGACAGTCACAGAAGAGTGACTTCCCCCACAGAAAAGTGGGGAAGGGGCCTGGGCCCTCAAATCTGGCATCAGATGCAATCGGACACAGGCCTGGTTGCTGTCTCCCTCCATCCTGTGGGAACTGTGGTCAATTCCATGTGTCTCTCCTTGACCTGAGGTCCCCACCGAGGATCCCAACTTCTCCGACTCCTCTCTGGCCTTCACCCAGATGAACTTGGCCCAGTCTGTCTTTGCTCCACAGCTCCACTACCCAGCCATAAGTCCAGGCGTCTATTCCTTGTTGACTCCAGAGTGTGAATGTTGCATTGTCCAGTGTCCACGTCCAGACCCCCAAATTCTCCTGAGAGCCTGATCTTCTCTGTGTCCCTCTGACCATCCCTAGCCCTGCCCACCAAGTTCACAAAGGGTCTGAGGAAGGAAGAGGCCACGGAAGGGACCACGGCGACACTACGCTGTGAGCTGAGCAAGGTGGCCCCCGTGGAGTGGAGGAAGGGGCCGGAGACCCTCAGAGCCGGGGACAGAGTCAGCCTGAGGCAGGACGGGGCCGTGTGTGAGCTGGAGATCCGTGACCTGGCCGTGGCAGACACTGGGGAGTACTCGTGCGTGTGCGGGCAGGAGAGGACAATGGCCACGCTGACCGTCAGTGGTAAAGACCATGTGTAGCCGGGCAAAGCTGTGTTTTCGTGTCCAGTTACTGACTTCATGACGTCTGTCCGCATTTGTTCCATGTTCTCTCCCCATCTCAGTGTCACCCTCTTCCCATAACTCCATGGAATTTCTTCCACTTTCCTGGGCTGTTGTAGAAACCAT